AACCCCCCCCCCCTCCCCCCGGCACCGCCGCCCCCCCCGCCGCAGGTTACACTGGGTCCCCTTGGCGCAGTGATGCAGGAGGCAGGAGGTTGGGTTGGTGTGTGGTGGTATTTTTGTGGTGTGCACCTTAGTAGCTGTATCGCAGAAAATAATGTGTAATGGTGTGTGTACTCAAGGTGTGTGGTCCAGATTCACCAAAGGAGAGGCAGTAACACCAGTGAAGTGGTTTCAATGCTGTTCTTAATTTTGCCTTCCTTTATGACCAGTTGGAATTCATCTTATGTAAGATTACATATTTTTCAAGCACTCATGAAATGAATTAGGAGGTACACGCCTGGGCAGTGCTGGAGAGAACGAGAGCGTGGTACTTTATTTGGTGCCTTTTCCTTTCCAGCAGAGGAGCAGCAGCTATGATCTTGTACCTGATGCTTTTGTTGCTTTGATGGTTACTCTGTTGTTGTCAGATGCGTGTTCTTAGGGTTGCCGGGCATATACACTTTTTATCACTGGCATGACTGACAGTACAAAGTGTTTGACTGAAGACATTTTCTCTCGAACTAGAGAAAGGGGCATTCTTAGAGCATTGTTTTGTGCCGCAGATTTTGCCAAACATAAACACGCTCCGCTCTGGCTACATGGTTGCAGGGAAGGGTTGCGATTACTCTGATTGGAACATCTCAGTTCCAGGTTGTTCACACAAAGGCTCCTTATCTCTTATCTCCAGGTGTAAGGCTGCCTGATTCGGTTGCACTTAGGTTATTACACTACCTTACACGATGTTAGACAGTTTGTAAAGCACAGCGGGGCAGGTTTGTAGAGTAAGAGAGGGCTGAGTACTCAACACCTGTGTTGTACGTGTTGCGGTAGGAGGGTACGTCGGACTAGTACTTAAGACTTGTGGACTGAACGCACGTAACATATCTCAATGCACTGCAGTGTAACCACTTATTAATGTCCTTCCCTCCTTCTTCCACCTCAGGAGTATTTTTGCTACTTTATAGTTGCAACCATCCTTAAAAATAGCTATAGAGGTGATGATCTAAATGTGACTAAATCACTTCTTTTTTTTTTTTTATATAGATAAGACCAAACCTGTGGTAAGTGAGCATTAGCAACAAGAAAGCAAGGAAGTTTAACCCTAGTGATCTAAATGTCACTTCTGTTTGTTTCTGCCAGTGCAATGGAAACATCTGATCAGGTTGCTTACAGCTGGATGACATGTCAGAGGGCAGCAGTCACCCGCTTGCATGCCTCTCAAATCGCCAGCAGTTTAGCTGTGCAGAACAGCCACTGCTTTCATTCTGCTGGTTTGGTTTGTGCCCGTGATCTCCGAGTAGCTGCCCAGAACTGGACAAGGGCAGCACAGGGGCAGATTGCTGTTGAGCTTGTGTTTGCTGTAGGTGAACAGGACGGAGGTGCTTTTGACCCCTGGTGCTTGGAGGGACATGGATGGTTCGTGTCTCCTGCCTCACCCTCTGTAAGACCTTGGGGGGTCACGAGCCAGCAACTTGACAGGAATCTGGGGACTGTGAGAATGAACCTGATTTTCTGTATCAGCCTGAGCCAAACAGCTAAGATGGTTGCTTACGGTTTGTGCAGAGCTGGATAAATTTTTAACCCAAAACTAAAATAAGGGTTGTGGGTGGAAAGGGAAAGGAACTGTGGGAAGCGAAGATAATTATAGCCACTTTCTGTACCTATAAAGACTGTTAATTTACCTCCTTGAGAGATTAGGATGAAAAAATAGCAGAAATATCTGTATGGTATGTCTGTATTTATTGAAGAGGGCTTGGGAAGGAAAAATAGCACAGCGCTAAGGTACTTCCATAGCTCACCTTTTACATATCGATATGGTTACTTTTGAAAATTAGGGTCTTTTCTAGCAGTAGGGGTGAATGGCCGAGGGGGGTCTGTATTTATTTCCTACAGTTGTTCAAAAGGCTTATTTTTTTTTTCTGTGTTGGAAATACTGGAATCTGGAAAGAAAAGCTAGGTATGACTTGCATAAACCTTGTAATAAAAGAAAGACTCTAGTATTACCTAACTGAAACTTTAAATTGTGTAGTATTTGAGGTTGGAAGGCACCTCTGAACATCTCTAATCCAACTACCCACTCTCTTCCCCCAAACAGGGTCAGCCGGAGCAGTTCGTTTCAGGGCTGTGTCCAGTCAGGTTTGGGGGATGGAGATTCCACAGCCTCACTGGGCAGCCTGTCTCCAGGGGTTGGTTTTGTTCAAGGTTTAAGTAGAATTTCCTGTATTTCAGTGTGCGCCTCCAGTCCTGTCACCGACACCTCCGAGAGAGGTCTGGCTGTGTCGTCTTTACTCCCTCCCATCAGACATTTACACGCATTGATAAGATCCCCCTGAGCCTTCCTCAGCAGCAGCTGAGGACCTTAGCCTGCGCGTGTTGCTCAGTATAAATGCTGGGTCTAATCAAATCAGTGCCGCTCTGCTAGTAACTCACCTTCACACAAAGCTGGGAAAGTAGATATTAAGGCAGCACTTCTAAGCTTAAGGGAATGCAAATGAGATATCTGAGTTATTCATACTACCTTCATATGAAAATAATCAGTGCACCGTTTCCTCAATTTGCAAATGATGAACTGTGGCATCTTGTTCGACAGGGTAGCATTTACAGAGTATATGAGATGAGCAGGTTGTCCCACCCAGGCTCTTTTTGTTCTCCTCAAAAGCTACCTCTGAGTATACTGAATCGCCAAAGAATTTGAAGTTCCTTATTTCGAATCTTTTTTCCAGATCTCTTCCTACATTGGAAGCACGCTGCAGCTAATAGGCCTGCTCTCAGTATTTGGGAAGCGATCAGTGCTGTTCCTGAGATTCATTTCTGGTGTTCGTTATTTCAGTTTTTCTTTTCTGATTTAGAGCTATCAAAGTTTTGTACGTAGCCATGGTGCCTTTTAGTAACAGAAGTACTACAAAGCTGTTTGATAGACCAGGTAATCAGGCTTTGGGATAGCCGAGTGTGAACACTACCATGTTTTGAAATTACAAAAACTTGATTCCCGTGCAGCATTGTGTGGGCTTAAGCATTTTTCTCAAGGAAAAGGCACTAATTCTCCAAAGAAAAGTCTGTTTCTGCTTTCAGTAGCATCCTTGTTTCCCAGCCTGGCAGTGTAAGTGGTTTGTTTTTTAATCTGAGATGGGAGCGCACTTGTATTCTGCGGAGGATTAAAACCCTTCAGGACGTTAGCAGCAAAGGGTTAGGAAAGGAATTTCACCCAGTACCAGCTAGCTTGAGTAGCTGTATTCCGTCCTGTTGAGTCCTGTTTCATTTCTTGATGCTTCTGTTCATAGCGTTCAGATGCATTTCTCAGGACTGTGATAGGTTGTTAGGTGTCTTCATCATCTCTTTTTTCTCTTGTTTTAGCCTCAAGGAATAGGTTCACCTAGTGTCTACCATGCTGTTATAGTGATCTTCTTGGAGTTTTTTGCTTGGGGACTCTTGACAGCGCCCACTCTGGTGGTAAGTGATATATGCTTAAGCTTTTTCTTGCTGTATGGGAGATGGGGCAATTACTGCAAAGGCACTGGATATCTTCTGAATTAAATGAAAATTATATGTCATCGAGCTGCTCTGTTGTGCGAGTGAAAAGTTTTGTATTTTTACCTGGAATCAGGAATTAAAAAATGATTTCATTAAAGCAGTGTAATGCTGCAGCATAGCTGTTTATGTTCAAGTCTGCTAACGCTCAAGCTTACATGTAAATATTTTCTGACTTGAAACCAGTAAGACAGTAGTGAAATTATCTTTCCTTTCAAGATGCTACAAAAAGTTGGCACGTTACAAATGTAAGGACAAAAATACACTTGAAACTTGGTAAGATTATGCAAGCACGTGTGTGTGTGTAGGTAAGGAGATGTTTGCTGACCTGGCTTTGCTTTAAACGGAAGCTTCAGAGCACAGACCCTGTTACACCGGTCAAACCTTCCCTGTGATTAGCGAGACAGTCATACCAACGTGTTTGTACCAACTTATTTTCTAATGTAGTTGGTTGCCTTCCGTTTGGGTTTAATCTTGGAGAGTGACACATGCTTACAAATTAAAAGGAGCGAAGGCTTAAAGATCTCTGGGCAAATTCCACCTAAAATGCAGTCTCCGTGCGGCTCTGTAAGCTGATGTTAACCATGAACAGTCTCTTGGATATAAACTGCACGTCGGTCACTGAACGGAATCCATCTCGCGTGACACAAGTCAGACTGAGAGAGGTGCCTGTTTTAACCTGCCAGGCTCTGGTCACCGAATTGAGAGGCGCTTCAGAATGATGATGCCTCTCCTCTCTCTGCCCAGCCCCCCGCGGATGACACAGTAACACGTGGAGAGTCTGGTCTGAGATCAAAATTTTCGAGGTTCTCTGTGGTCTATTTAGATTTCAGACGCTGACGTTGGATGACGTGAATCCTTCCCAAAGTGTTGAGAGAACTGAGGCCTCTATCAAGTAAAGCTAAAATCTCACAGTACCTTCCCTGTGAATTAAAGATTAAATCGATTATTTGTGGTGTGTCTTTTTTTTCTTTCCCTGTATTCTGTGAAAATATAAAACTGCTGTGGGTGTGCCACTGTAGAAGTTGGATGCATCATGAGCAGTATTTATAGTTAATATTGTCTAAATGACAGTGTTTGTATTTCTTCTCCAGGTTTTGCATGAAACCTTCCCAAAACATACATTTCTAATGAATGGTCTGATTCAAGGCGTAAAGGTAAGGTGACAGAAGTTAATCGCAAGTACAATTTAAAGTGAATGGTGGGAGGAATACAGGGATGACCGCCAATTGAGAGAAACATTCAAGGGGTTTTTCAATGTAGCTTTCACGGTGTGAATAAAACAGGGGAATAAATTATTGCTAAAAAAGCAAATATGCATCATTTTACTTTTAGTAAGATATTGCTTGATCTGTACCTGCTGTTTGGGTTCAGCAAATAAAAAGGTAGTTGACTCATCCCAAATGACACACATGGTGTTAAAATTTGAGAATTTTTTACTTGGAGCTTGTTGCTCCAGTAGGATATTTTCAATGACTTGCATTTATGTGAATTCTAAATATATAAAGGTATAAAACACAGTTCATAGAACTGCTAGTATGACTGGATCATCTGCATTTTGAATTTTGCGTAGCTCTGAGGTAGTAAATCTCAAATTTTATGTAACCAGACATGGGATAGATGGTCGGTGGTGCTTGACCATATTGTCTTTGATGCACTGCACTGTAGTCGTCAACCTCAATAAAAACAGAGCCCAGCCTGCTATCAGGTTGTGGTGTGGTCGGCCGTCACGATTCTAACCGCTTAGCTCTAACTTAAAATGTTTTGTTTCGTTTAGGGCTTATTGTCGTTCCTCAGTGCCCCGCTCATAGGTGCCCTCTCTGATGTGTGGGGACGAAAGTCCTTCTTGCTGCTAACAGTATTTTTCACCTGTGCACCAATACCACTAATGAAGATCAGCCCATGGTTAGTAAATTCTTTCACACTGGATTTGCCGTTTCTTGTCAGGGTTGCTCCACAATGCTTATGTTTGTGGCGTCGCTGATAAAATACTGTTTGTGCTCCATGGAAGGTTGAGGCTTTTGTATTACTTCGGTGCAAAGTTGGGAGAACAGAGTCAAACTGAAGTAGCTGCCGTGCGGCCAAATGCCTTGGTCAGAATTTTAAGAGCTGCTGGTTTTGAGCTCTGTGCTGTAGGCCCAACTTCCTACTTCAGCACCGTTTGCAGAAGACAGTAGAATGCTATCCAGGAAACTGTGCAGGTCTTTATCGTGGCTGTATTACTCAAATACTAACCAACTATACAGAAATGAAAAACCTTACCTAATGCTGGCTAGCGCATGAAGTAACCATTTGTAACCTAAAATGTGGCTGCAATTTTATACTTTTGTTTCTCAAGTTTTAAAATCCACCAACTTTCACGCTGTGTGCGAGTTAGTAAGCTCTTAACTGGCACGTACGTTCCCCAGGTAGAGCATGAGTCAGAACTCTCAGTGGTGGTGGACTACCCACGTGCTGTACCTGAGGGTGTAGCTGAAGTGACACAGAGCGCACTGACGCAGGGCAGAGCCAGCTGTTCAGGTAGCTCCGTGAGCCTTTTCAGTTTTCTCTCCGGTCACGCAGGCTGTTTGTGGATTCTTCATCCCTTTTCTGGGAAGTAGCTTGTTCCTAAGCGTAGATTAATGTTTCAAATGACGAGCGCTAGTGTCTGTAGCATGAAGATAAGGCTAACGTTGAGACCTCTCGATGACGAGATTCTCAAAATACTGAAGTTCCTAACTTGCTTTGGGTCATAGGCATCCAGCCGAAGTGAGCCCAACACCTCATTTCCTAGAAGTACTTAAATCGCAGCAGCTTTCTGTAGATGTTACAAAATTATGCTGTTCATCTTTACTCAGTGCGCTAAGGAGGAATTGCACAACTGTATCGAGGCGCAGTCACAGTGGCTTCATCCAAGTTTATCTTAATACTGGTCAGGAAAAGTTGGACAAGATGATTGACTGTTGAACTGTACTTGGACTGTAAATAGAGACTTTTTGTTCCTGTTTAGCTGTTCTAATTGTTTTATAATGTTCGTAGGTGGTACTTCGCTGTTATCTCAGTCTCTGGAGTTTTTGCGGTGACATTTTCTGTGGTTTTTGCATATGTAGCAGACATAACCCAAGAACATGAAAGAAGCATGGCCTATGGTTTGGTATGTATTTTTTTGGCTCTGCTCCTGTGGTATCCAGTACTAAACACTTCAGGCGGTAAAGCTTTGCAAAGTTGTATTTTTGTTTCTTCTCTGGCAAGCTGATTTTAGTCTGGAGTAAGGTTTTTCTGTTTAATTGCTCTTGTCATCCAGTCCCGTATCTCTTGAATATTCTGCTTCTAACTTAAACAAAATGTGACCATGTTAAAAGCTGTCTTGCAGATGTCTGTCTTAACAGTTATTGTCAGTGCTAATGATGTAATTTGAGGGGCTTTGATTATTCCTCCGTTGTTTCCCACGCTAGTACTACTCTGCCATCTTTTCATACTACTCTGCCATCTTTTCAAAAATCTAACCTGTTGTTTCCGGATAATTTTGGAACTGCCATATTGTATGGTACCTGACGACTCCCGCTCGTGTCTCCAATCCCGCTGCTGCGCTTCGGTTCAGAACAAATGCAGCTCAGTAACTTGTCTGTCTTCAGTTCTTACAACTCGCCGCCGTTTCTCCATTATCTCCCGCTAACCTGCCAGATCTCGGGAGCCTGCACAGCCCTCTGTACTGTGGATTAGCAGAACTATTTGTTGCGTTCAAGTTAGAGAATCCGTTATCGTATTCAGCGGGAAGAGCCGAAAGGAATGGATATAGAACTAAATAGTTTCTTTCTGCCTGTACGCATCAGGGATTGAGATACGCTGAGAAAGTTCCTTCAGTTTTAAAGTTAACGTCTTTCACAACCAGCTGCTTAACCGAAAACTACTTTCTGAAGACCCACTGTACTGAGTTGGATTAACCAGCATATTAAATTTAATATGCCCATGAGACGTGTGATTTTTTTTTTTTTTCCCCTCTCAACGGGCATTGTGTATTTCACTAATATGAAGATTAAATACAGCTCATCACTTCCCAGAGATATCAGCAGACTGTATAGTTAATTAAACCTAATTATGTCAGTACATGCAGGAGTGCTGTGAGCCTCACATTGCTGTCCAGTTATCAAAAACAAAAAAAATTGTTTTTCTTGAAGAATTTTGGCTGTCTGAAATACACAGCGGCTACCACACGGTCACAGGAAAAAGGTGACTTTTAATCACTATCTGATTAAAATGGTTGCACTTTTGAAAAATGAGGAAAAGTGGGTAATAATACTGCTGACTTGTATCACTGAGAAATCTTACCGGCTGTTATTTGTTCTAGGTTTCAGCAACTTTCGCGGCAAGTTTAGTTACCAGCCCTGCTATTGGTGCCTACCTCGGTCGAGTCTACGGAGACAGCTTGGTTGTGGTCCTGGCTACAGCAATAGCCTTGTTGGACATCTGTTTTATTCTTGTTGCTGTACCGGAATCGCTGCCAGAGAAGATGAGGCCGGCATCCTGGGGAGCACCCATTTCGTGGGAACAGGCTGACCCTTTTGCAGTAAGCTATTTAAATACGGAATATTTTGTTATTTGTAAATGCTGAGCTTTTGAGACAGGGAAGAGACTGAATTTACTACTTTTCAAGCTTGAAAAACCAAGCCCGTATTTTTTCACGTTTAACCTTGCGCCGCTGCTAATGCTTTTGCCAACCATCTTGCTAAACGTGCAGGGAACGTTTTGGTGGTACCACATAATGGCTCCATTAATTGACATGCTCTTCCGATTCTTGCTAGGTGTGCTTTTCTGAATATGAAGATTAAATGTTTTATAATACTTTTTTCTTGCCGTAGTCGCTGAAGAAAGTCGGCCAGGACTCAATTGTGCTGCTCATCTGCATCACAGTCTTTCTTTCCTACCTCCCAGAGGCAGGTCAATATTCCAGCTTCTTCCTATACCTCAGACAGGTAACTTAACGTTTGGATACGGAGTTGAACAAAAGTGAATTTACAGGGAAGTTTTCAGTATTGCTGAACTAACACAGAAAGTGTGGATAACTAGTCTAATTTAAAAGCTTCCAGCAGCTGATTGAAGTTCTCTTGCTGTTCGGTTTTTGTCTCTTTTTAGAGAGACAAGAAGAGAGGAGAGAGATGAGCGAGTTAGAAAACGAGTTCTCGTATTTTGTACTTACTTGCATTATTCTTGGACTGAGGGTCACTCTATGTTAAACTGTTTTGTTTATTTTTTGTGGGAACCATTTACTTGTTTTCTATTTATGCCCCTTTATTTTTGCATACTTGCTCGATTTAAAAAAAAAAAAAAAAAAACCAAAAAAAACACCACCCAACTTTTTTTCTAAGTTAGGGAGGAGTTGAACAATACCGCTCTTCTGCATTGTGTGTTCCCCCACTGATGTTTGTCACATCATGATACACGGTTTACGGTTAATAATCAAATTGCTTTTTTTTAATATAGATAATGGGATTTTCATCTGAAAGTGTTGCAGCATTTATAGCAGTCCTTGGGATCCTCTCCATTATTGCACAGGTGAGTTACACATTTCGTTGATTCGGTAACTTCGAGAGAGCTCAGCACTGTGGAGATCTTCCACCACGCAGCGGTTCCAGAAATGTGACTCGCCTTTTCTGTGCCTGTTTTTCTAAGTCTCTAACAACTGATTAGCACTCGGACTTCAACTTCGATGGCGAACCAGCTTGCCAACCAGGATTTGGTTCATTAATATCCAAAGTGTGTTGTGTTGGGGAAACTAAATCCTTTGTGCATCAAAGAAGGGGTGACAGTTTGTTTGTATTACTTGCTAAATGATTGCTGGTTTTTTGGTAGAGGCTCCTGAATACTTGGCAAATACTGCTTTTGGAGAATTTTACTTGGCTTTTTAAAATTAATTTATTTATTTATTTGCATGCATTTAACATTTAGAATAAAATGTTTTGAGGTTTTTTGTTGCTTTTTTAATTTATTAATCTATCTGCATGAATTTAACGTTTAGAATAAAATGGTATTTTTCTTTTTTTTTTTTTTCCTTTTCTCCCCTCTCTGTCAGACAATAGTTTTGAGTTTACTTATGCGGTCCATTGGAAATAAAAATACCATCCTACTGGGCCTAGGATTTCAGATACTACAACTTGCGTGGTACGGCTTTGGATCAGAACCATGGTATGTAAATGTCATTTTAATATCTGAACGACATGGTATTTTTCTGCATTTTATCCTTTATCCAAGGGAGATGCTTAAGTGTGCATACGTGTATCTATCGACACGTGTATATACACACGCTCCAAATGCAGGACGCCATCCGTGCGGAGCGGTTACTTCGAGTCTGTACTTTTTGCAGGATGATGTGGGCAGCCGGAGCTGTTGCGGCCATGTCCAGTATTACTTTCCCAGCTGTAAGCGCACTGGTCTCCCGAACTGCTGATGCCGACCAGCAGGGTAGGTTTTGTCCTGCTGCTTTGAATTCTAGCCAAAGAACACTGCGAGGACGGACATGTCAGGGTGTCGTCGTAGTGCTAGTCGGTCAGCCGGAGTCTTGGCACGGCGTAGCCTGTACGCCTGAGCACAGGGCACAAAATGTTAACATCCAAGTTACTTGGTGTGCTAGGTGCTAGTCGGTCAGCCGGAGTCTTGGCACGGCGTAGCCTGTACGCCTGAGCACAAAATGTTAACATCCAGGTTACTTGGAAGTTGTAATACATGTGTATTGTGTCACGCTGGCACAGAGGGGAATAGGTCCCAATGGTAGCAAAATATTTAGCAAACTCAGTAGGCTCTTTATTTTCCTCACTTTTGGCAGAAGTTGGCTTCGCTGGCCAAGCTGCGTACAGTGCTTTCTCTCCTGCGTCAGACAGCGAGAGCAAGCGTGTTGTGCCTATGTGCTGGTCTCTGACTGAGCACAGCATGGGAAGGACTGCCCCGTGCCTACAGGGAGATGGAAAAAACCCTTGGGTGTACTGCAGCGACCATTTTCTGCAGCCCTTGTTTATTGCCACCCATAGCGCAAGGCCAGTTAGAGAAGCTTTCCTGCTTGCATCGGTTTGAAGGTGAAGTGAAGAAAGTCTTGCTGATCTGCTCATAAGCCATTAAAAGTAGTGAATTAGAGATGTCTAAATACAGCTAGATAGCAGTGTATTTCACTTTTCCCAGGTGTTGTTCAAGGGATGATAACAGGAATTCGAGGACTGTGTAATGGTTTGGGACCAGCACTTTATGGTTTTATATTCTATATATTTCACGTTGAACTGAATGAACTCCCCATGCCCGAATCGCCCTCAGGAGGTAGTGTGGTCACACAGTACCATTTACAACAGGTATTCTTCTTTTACTTATTAATTCCAAAAAAAAGAAATTAGGAAGGGGTCATGTGCCCCCCCGGGCCTTGAGTGCGATGCTGTATTACATTTTGTTATGCTAACTGTAAACAAAGGGTCTGGAATCACTCTTGGGGAGGGTCGGTTTGTTTTTAACCAGATGGCATGGTTTAGTGTAACTTTCAAAGAGATACAGCTGACAACCCTTGTAAAGAGAAGAAATTGAGGGAAGGATGGACTAATAACTACGGCTCCCCCCTCTTCCCTTGTCTCCCTGATGCTGTATTTACCTTTCATATGCTGTACGTTTTTGTTGTCCTTTAGTCTTTTAACCAAGCCCTCTGTATTTTTTTTAGTTCCTAATAGATATTAATTTGTTGAGGAAACTCAGCAGCAAGAACTTGCACTAGAAAAGGAAGTTGGCGCGCATTAATAAGAACCACCATACGCTCCCTATCCAAAGTCTTAGGATGTAACGTTCTTCCCACACTTCTTCTCAAAGACTCCACACGGGGACAAATACTGTATTGGCTAGTGTAGCAAGAACAAGTGCTTCCTGCTCTTGAAATTTGTGTAATTAGCAATTGTAGTCTGGTAACATGTGTCTAACGGTTCACTAACGCTGTGTGGTGTCACTGTTGTTGTTTTCAGAATTCTATAATCCCTGGACCCCCGTTCTTATTTGGAGCCTGCTCTGTGCTGTTGGCACTACTCGTTGCCTTGTTTATTCCTGAACACACGAACCTAAATGTACGCTCCAGCAACTGGAAGAAACACTGTGGCAGCCATGGCCATCCCCACAGTCCACAAGCTCCTGGGGAAGCTAAAGAACCATTATTGCAAGATACAAATGTATGACAACAATCCAGGAAGATCTTTGAGACTTTTTTTTTCATCAGCAGTTTGGGATACACATTCCAATTCCATCAGAAAAAACGTAACCTCTTAAGGTAATCTTAAGAAGTATCTTTCTGCATGAAATTTGTAGGAATTAAAAAACAAAAAGGAAGTTTCTCCAAAGATGTTGCCATTGAATTAATCATTTGCTTTTAAAAACAAACTGTTACATACTTGTCTCTTGCCATGAAATACTGTTACTACTAAACTTTACCTTCTAGTTCAGAGACAAAGAAGAGTTGAGGCATGATGAGCATGTGTCCTTCTGTTTCCTCAAGGTGGTGAGCTTTAATTCTAGTCATGCTAAGTCTCAATGAGACATACTAGCGTCCACGTGGACCCATTCATTTTAACGTTGTAAAATCTTGGGTCAGACGATTCGAAGCCTTAATGTAAATGTACTCAAGTAGGGAGAAGGTGAACTGGTATCCTTTACTTCAAAAGTCATATGGCAGGTTTTTTTTTTTTAAGTTGTTTGTATTACTATAAAAATCACTTGAGCACGCTTGCTGAACAGTAAAAGTTATTTTTATGTAAGTGCATTTACTCTTTCTATTTTTGAATAAACGGTAGCATCAAACACTTGTTTAAATATTAAGTGGGTGGTTTGAGCCTCCAAATTTTAATATTGGCTCTAAAACTCTGCTTTCCTAAGTACCGTTTATTATACCACTATATTTCCGATGTTCGCGTAATCATAAAGGACCTCAAAACTTGAATACACAGACTGAAATATAAGCTGATAGCCTTGACTATGTCCGTGTGCTATATCGTGGCCTTTGAGGACTGTCACAATAACCCTTTTGCATTACAGAGCTAATGTTTTAGTCCTAAATTTTCAGGACCCTTAGTACAGAAGAGAGCTTTATACAATTACTGATGTGAATTTCTCTAAAAGTGTCTATTTTTGTGTCCGGTTGTATTATTTAAGTGTTCCTTTGTATAAATTTGTGTACAAAGTATTGTATAGGTTTAAAATGTTTTCATCTTGTGGTTATTGCTTAATGCTTTTTTACCTTTGGACATTCACCATGGTTGACCAAGAGTGGGGGGAAAAAAATATGTAAATACACTGTTAATAAAGTTGAATATTTTAATGAATTTTTAAATAATTGTTACTGTCTCTTAAAACCTTAATTGAAGTTCTGCAGTGTAGGTGTGTTATACTTCAGCGGGTGGGGAAAAAAAGGCTGGCGTACAGGTCCAGCACTGTTTTACCCGTTGGATAAGGCTGCCTTGAGCATGTTGATACTCTCCCCTTGGCTCAGCAGCACAGGCTGGCTGCAGCCGGCTGCTTGGTTCCTGGGGGTCTAACAGAGCAGGGTTACGTGGCTGCAGCCGGCTGCTTGGTTCCTGGGGAGCAGGGTTACAATAGAGACAGGCTACAAGAAAGGGGTCCGTAACAGAGACGGTCACCCTTCAGTACCCTGCAGGTTCTGCCTCCCCTGTGCTGCTGTGTTGTCACTCTTCCCAGGCCCACTACAGTTCTGTTTGTTTCATTTTAGAGTTGAATAGGACTGGGACTACCTCATTTTAATTACCAGCTTCCTGGTTGATAGCAGCTTACATCTACTTCCAAGAGAAAAAGACCAAATTCACATTAATTTACACCTCCTAAAACTTAACTAGAAATAGTAGCGTAAGCACAGACCTTAGAACAGGGGGTGGCTGCCATCTGGGGATTGTACATGCATCGTAGTGCTGGTTCCATAGCACTGCCTTGCGTGGGGAAATGAATAAGCTGGGAAGAAAGCTCCAGAACAAGGTAAGGTGAATAAAACAGTACCCTTCCAGCACTTACCTCATCTCAGCATTTCAGTACAGTGGAGACATTGGTTTAGTAGTCTTCAAACATTACTAATCAGAGCTTTTGATAAAAACCATTTAATATTTTCCACTGAAACTTACACATGCCAAAACAAGTGAACATAGGTTAACATGGTGCTGATTTACAAACAAATACACACATTTTGCACTGCAAAACAATCCGCTTCCTTAAATATACAATCCTCTGGCTGCACTTAAAGATATCTTTAACAACAAAAGTATGTAAATAGTCATTAAAAAAAAAGTGTAACATTTTGTACATTGCAAATACTTGCATGCCACCAAATGAAAGGTGGCACAGAATGAATTTGTTAGTGATTCTAGCATTTGAGCCCAGGTAGTAGAACAAGCTGAACAGACTCAGCCCACTTGAACATTAGGAGTATCTTACATTTCTGTACAGTTGTAAAGTATGATTAGTAAAAATAAAGTAGCTTTCAGGTGTTGTGATACTTTCAATAGTTAACTGTTCAGATACTTCATCTTATAATGTCTTTTGCATGGTAGCCTGCGGAATATGATACTGACAGATTAATAGGAAAGTTAGGGTAGCCAAGAGTAAGAGTTTTAAATTATAATTTTATATCTTCAGTGAAATAATTTAGCATCTTTAATATTAAATATATTTGTAAGTCTATATGCAAGTCAAATAAGCTGGTTCCAAAATTAAGCAGGTTTTTAATATTAAAACTGTAAGGGAGGATTAATGAGGCAGTCATGCTAACTTACGAGCTTGACCACTATTAAAATTGACAGCATCACCCTGGTCTCCAGCACTTTCTAGTTGCATCATCCTTTCTCTGAAAGGAGTCAAGAAAAGTAGTCGTAGAGAAGTGTTCTCTCCCAGGGAATGTGGGAGTCTACATTTCATCTGTTACAGAGCCACACTTGCCAAGTGCACTGACTTTTTTGTTACAGGAATTAAGTGGGTTTTTAGGAAGACTACAGGGCTCCAATATACTACGAGAAGATTCTGCGCAGCCCCAGTGGCTTAACTACGGCCTTGTTCCCACTCAGGCTGAGGCTGCTTAAAGCTTTATCTTTTCTTCAGGCGCAAGTATCCTGAAGAGTCATGCAAGTCAGTCAAGATACCTTTCTCAAAGCAAACAGATTCAGACTTAGAAAATCATGTCAGTTCACATGGATACTTCACTAATACGCCGTATTACAGGACATCCAAAACCCCCCCAAATGGTTAAAAGAGGACTCTTACTTTAAGAACCCTGTCTACTATCCAGGAAAATAAGCTGAGGCTGGCGTTACTGCAGCTTTTGGCGACGGTTGCGCTTTTTTTGGTAAGTACGGTTTCAGGTACTCTGTAGAACAGCAGAAACAAGATACTGTTCATAGAACCCTAACTATTAATACCCTTTAAGTACGTGTCAAATAAGGTCTTGGTTTACTATTTCCATACATACCTGAGTTAAGTGCATTTTGACTAAGGCCTCGTAAAGGAATGCTGTCATCTTTTTTCTTGAAATACTTCGATTCCAGCCCCAGGTTATCACCACTAGAAATAAAACGGCTAATGAAAACTTAAAACAAAGGTTGTTAATGCACTGCTACATACCTACCTACAAGTGTGGATACAGACTCATTCAGAAAAATCTGAACTTGAAGGAGAACTACTGCATTCCTGTGAACCTTATCCTTTAAAGATAAACCATCACCAAGTAGCTTAAGAACAGTCTAGAACTGATTTTTTGACTGACCCATCACCTGATAGCCTTCGACCTGTCACCAGGAGGGACAATGAACGTTTGTTCCTTGGGACCCGCTCCTGAAAGCATGGCTCCTCGCTTGTTATCTACAAACCATGCTTAGTGACCAATTAAGGCTGCCACAACTTTGAATTCACGGACATGTTGATGCAGAAAGGCCGATCACAGAACTAGCTTGGTACTGGAAATGTTTTGCTCAGTTCCAGACACACATAGAAGACAAACGGCTTTATAAAATAATAATTTGAAAACCCCACTAAAAATGCAATAGATGACACTTACTTCTCCTTATTTGCTGGATGACTAGTTGCAGTCGCTGTCTGAACATCTGAACATCGATTCATTTTAGAAAGCTGTGTGTTAAACTGAATCTGCAGAAACACAAGAGTTGCAGGTTAAAGAGAGCTACTCCAGATGTGATGGTCCACCGGTAAGTGTATTCAGAGAGTGAACTTTGCAGGGATTAACGTTTCTGTACCTTGCATAGCACTTCCGTGCAGCAAAGCATGCAAGAATAGGCAACCTAAAAACAAGCATTAGCTGTTACTAATAGTGATAATCTTCAAGACAGGGAGTTCAGGAGTACTGGGATATACAGTAAATATCTTACGCATTTTGAGAAATATTCAGAACATTAAGCTTTGATATTTTTATGCTATCACATTCTTAACCAAACAGAAAAGTCAAAGCACCTGCCTTTGGTACTGGACATTGTGAATTGACATTTTTGTTGTGTGCTTGTTCCAGAAAGTTCTGGAAGGCATACAGAGGAGAAATAGGATGATTGATTCCTGAGCTGGGAAAGGACGGTCGGTCAGGCTGTAAGAGAAATAGAATACATCCATAAAGGAGAAAAACAATTCTTGAAGTAATTGTTTGTAGAGATTCAAAATTCCAAAATTAACAGCTAACCACAATTACAAAGCTAACGCTCATTTGAGTCTTCCTGACAGGAAGAAAACATTACTGTTCCAAGATTCACGTTCTTAAAGAAAACTCGTAACTTTTTACAAGTTAGACAAGTGGACCACTCTTAGCTAATAATTATAAGCTCATAATAAGCTACACACCCTGTAAAGGACTAATACATTAAATGTATCTAGCTAAAAATCAGAGACCTCTTTGCATGAATATGCCCTTTCACTACTGAGTAAGCAGCTCATCAATTGCTAGGTGACAAGAGACATCTGCACACACAGAGACAACAAAGAATAAGAACCAGTAAGCTATGGTATTTAACGACGATAGTACGTAATGTTTGTTACCCCTTATTTTCATGTTTCTAAATATGACTAATAAGAGTATTGAGAGTACACTTTCAGCCTATACAAGGATAATTAGTATGTGAGTTAACCTCACCACACAAAAATGCCGCCTTCCCCCCCCTTCACCCTGCACTTCATCTTTTCCAAGCTAATTTTGCATTGTTTTGTGTATTTTAATAAATAAGAGCTTAGAAAATTCCAACTTAGGCAGCCAGGGCATCAAGTAGCACCCAACAAGGTATTATGTTGTTAAAAAAAACCCCTAAACGAAACAAAACAACAAAACCCACGCTCACCTGAAACTACAGGGCTCAAAGAAGATGAAAGCACTTTTCTTTTTCCCCCCTTTAAGGCCATACATTTCAGGAAATAATGGCTACGTCATAACCAGCTTATTTATAGTTGTATCTTACCATGCCATGAGGTGAAACGGCAGTCCTACCACCACCATGTGTACTGGCAGAAGTCTCTAGCTTCTTTGCCATCTGAATTTCATTCAGCTGTTTGTTTAACCATGTGATTACTGAAGAGAGAAGAAAAAGCTTCTAAGAGGTAGGAAGTGAGCTTGACCTGTTTAAAACAGCAGGTAGCCCTTCCTCAAAAAAAGTGACCACGTGGGGGGGTATTCTTCCTCCTTAAGCTCAAGCGTCACTAGAAGTCCTAGTGTCATGAAAGGCCATTTTGTTCAAGCTTCCTCCACCCCTACATGCCATTCTGTTCCTTCCTCCAGAGTTCGCCCCCCACACGCACGCTACCCCGAGCAACCACAAGCACCAACTGCAAAGGAAGTCTTCTCTACTTGCGGCTCTAGGTTGTTGCGTACCCACTACAGACAGAAGCTTATTTTCCATAAAGGACAATAAATCGCAGCTCTTCACAAAAAAAAAAGAACACAAGTAAAGCAATATAGTTGCTTCCACTAATTTTCAGCAGCAGCTAGATCACTGTCATCTTTACAAGAAGTGAAATTGTATAAACCTACCGTTTTCATTGGTTTTCAGTAACTGCTTACTTTCTTCTAGTTTTTGTATTGTAGTTTCCAGCTGTTCTTGTAGCTTGCAAACCTGCAATATTCCCATAATAACTGTAACACTATCAGAAGCTACTACTAATTACAAACTAAAGAAAAAATATAAATAAATAAAAAAGGATCTATGAAGTTGTTCTAAAATTATTTAAGAAGTTTGAGCTCAGTTTTTTTTACAACAGCAATATGATAATTCTTGTAAAAGAAGCCCTACTTTTAGCTAGGTTTTCAACAAGATGACAGCCAGAAACCTTTCTGACCTTAATTTTTCTATGACTAAATAACGCAAGGACTCTAAGCACAGGAATATACTTAATGGAAGAAGTAGTTCGCTCGGTTCCTGTTCTTGCCTCCTTCACCAACTTTCACATGAATATGCCCTCTAAAGCATGTCAACTCATCCATTATATTGCTTTGTACTCTTAATATAATTTTAGTTTTCTTCCATATGTAGGGTGGCTCTTACAAATCAGTTTAACATGAAAGAAAATGAAAAGTTGATTACACATTTAAATAAACGTGTTAACTGAGAAAGAGTACATTCTATTCTACGGAAAGATTTAAGACCTTACTGCTGTAAATAAGTAAGTTAAAAAACAAAACCCAACACACTACGTACAATGGCATTTACAGGACAGAGGGTTAACCTCTCACAGTACCTCCTGCTCTTTCATTCGAAGAGACTGTCCCGTCTCCTGCAATTCCCTCTGCTCTTTTTGAAGTCTCTCTTCTTTTTCTGCCAATAGTTTTTCCTGTTGAATTGTTACTGTATTTTTCAATTTTAATTTACTCATTAGAGTTTTCAGGTCTCCTTGTAACTTCTTGATAATTTCATTAGCCTATTAAAAAAAAAAATAAATCGGATATTCTCAAAATAAAGAAACACCTAAAAATAAGGAAGACATTTCATAAGGATAATGGCATATTCAAGCAAACCTTAAGAAGTTCAGCTGACAGTGACTTGATTGTTGTCTCTAGTTTTTCAATATGACTTTGTTTTTTCTCCGTACTCTCTTCCAGTATCGCCTTTAAAAGAATATTAAAGATATTATAATAAAGATATGTGACAGACATCGCTTACGATTTCAGGTAGAGCCTCAATAATTCTTTGAGAACTAATCCTTACAAGAAATTCAGTCCTTGCTTTTCTGTCAAATTACATAGGATCTCAATTCATCCATTTTTTTTGTTTACAAAAAGTACCACTAACTTTACTCCAGCACCACAATACTAAAACAGTAGCGACTGTTGTAAAACTGAATCCAGCATACTTTTGATGCCATAATTTAGCATCTTTAACTACATTTGAAAGCTTACTCGCTGTATTCATAGAAACTGGTGAGCTGCTAATCTATAGAGACTGCAATTAAGAAGGTTCTATAGAGTTTTAGAGAAAATTATTTTGAAACTAGAAGGAACCTTTTGTTCTTGTGTCGCATCTAATACTTCTTTTGTTCTAATAACTAGCTGATCTTTATCTTTGATCTCTTGTTCCAGAACAGCAACCCGTGTCTGTAGCTGATTAACGAGCTTCTCTTTTTCATGGCATTCAGCATCCAGAGTAGTGTTCTCCCGACGCAGTGACAGCACCTCCTGCTTTGCTCTTTGACATTCCTAGAACATTGGGAAGGAATTTTATTTTATTTTCTTAAAGAAAATCTGTAATAGTAATTTAAACAGATATATCTAAATAGTAAGCATAACGTGGAATGAAGAGGAGCTGAACAAATTTAATATGCTGTATTTTCTATTACATGCATAGGCAGGCAGTGTTAATGCTCTAAAAATAGTAAATTTAGTTATGGAAATTAATAAGCCATACATCTTCTATTCCAGAAAGCTTTGCTTTCAGTTCCCTGACTGTGGAGTCTCCTTTGTATCTCCTTTCTGTTAGATCTTTATTGATGACCTCGAGTTCTGAGAGTCTGTTCTGCAACTGTTGAATACTTTTCTGATGCAAATTTTCTAATTCCTTTTTCTGTTGTTCATGCTGTTGTTGGTACTGAGCTTGTGCCTATGAGAAGCAAAGAAACTAAGCAGTTATTCAATGAATCTGAAAATTAAGCCAAGAAACTATTCACATATAAGAATATTGTTAATTCTTTTCTGTTGTCATACCTGGAGAGCTCTTTCCTTCTCATTTGTCAGCTCCTGTGTGTGTTTGTTTGTTAGAGCTGTAGTGTATGACGTCCATTCATTTTTCAGTTTGTCTAGTTCTCGGCTCTTCTCTGACAAGCTCTGTTTGGCAAAGCATGTAAAGTTTTAAAAATTTAAGCATTTCAGTCAATGCTGAATGATTCTTTACTGTTACTTCTTAAAAAGGACATGGTATTATTAAGAAAAGTCTAAATTTCAGCACAAGATGCCAAAATACCTGTTCATTCTGTAAACAGGAAAGTAAGGCACTGAGAAGCTAAAGAGCACCTTTCTGACACTGTGGATAAAATAATCTTCATTTCCAATTGTATTTTCTTTCAACTACTATTTAAGAGTGAAAAAACAGTCTGCTGATGTTCCCTACCCTTATAACGCAAA